TTTACACTGATTGCTTTTCCACCCATATAGGCTGTAAAAGCAATCATTTCTCCTTCTCTCTGGCTGCATTCTTGCAGCCATTGAGAAATACTGTGAGAGCTGTGATTGGTCACAGCTTGTCACATGGTACAAGGTTGTTGTGAATAGCCTTGTACCATGTGACCTCTGTGATCATTTACAGATTTCACACGTAGTAAGCAATGATGTCAGAAGCGACATCTTACTTACTACTATTCATGTGATCACTGATTGGCCAATCACTGATCACATGATTGGGACCTCACAGAGAGGTCCCGTACAGCGATACCAGGAAGCACACACAGTCCAAAATGGCGGGCGCCATTTATGAACGCCAACCCGCTCCTGCACTGCCCTCGTCCGGTAGTTTATATACATGGGCCAGATGGGAAGTGGTTAATCAAACTAACCGTCACGTACCTGATAGAAGTCTGAATTGACAAGGTCGGCCTCTCTTGTATCTCCAGCCCAGGACCCACTGAAGGTGGAACAGATGGTGCTGAGGGACAGGAGGGAACAGGAGTGCCTGCAGATGTTGATTGCAGAACTTGCAGCTGGAGTTGTAAACTCAATGGATCAGGCCGGGCATCTAGTCAGGAACAGAGGAAATGCCACAACGTCCAGCCGAGGTTAAGGAAACACTCCACTGGAACTGCACAATCTGGGTGTGTGGCTTGTCGGACCTTCTAAGAAGCGTGAGGCTGGAACACACCGTGACAACCGGAGATGATATAATAGATAGCCAGGGCAATCACTCGGCAGGACTGTAGAGCCGGACTGGAGCCGGAAGCCTAGTTAGAGTAATAGCCAGGGTCAGCAACGAGCAGGCGATGAACATCAGACAGAAACGTGGTCAGGAGGAAGCCAGGGTCAGAATCCGATGAGCAGAAGCACAAACAGGATCCAAGAGCAGGTCAATGGCAAGCCAGGTCAGTAACGGATAACACACTGGATACAGCAAGGAAATAGCTGAAGACCAGTCAGCATGGACAGAGAGTAAGAGCCTCCTTTAAATAGTCCGTCTGGCGACAGAAACCCGTGTGCGCGCTTGCTTTCGCGCATGCGCGAGCCTATGCTCATTTTTATTAGCAATGCACCTGTGCTCACCACAGCCGGGATTGTCACTGACAGACGTATGGCCATCTTTACAACGTTTTCACCATTCAAATGTCTTATTGCAGCTGAGCGTCTCATCACCGTACTGTGCTTGAAGTCTTCTGTAGATATCCGCAGATTTTACGCCTTCGTTCAAAAGAAACTTCATCACCACACGCTGTTCCACGCACGCACTAACGCTGTTGTCTGCCATCTCGATTAACCATCTATGGACTGGTTCGCGACATGTGTGCCGCCTCTCAGTAATAGGACGCGCTTGCCACTTACCACCACATTAGCATCCCTTTTTATACCTGGATAGTGAAAAGTCCTGGTTTGACTTGAATGCCCCTCGTGTATATATACTGAATATATATTGTGATACGGGGAGCCCAGGATCACCTGTCAGTCGATTTTTAACCACTTCCCGACCGGCCGTTGTATATAAACGGCCGGCCGGTGGCACTGCAGGGTCGGGTGGCCGTCTATAAATGGCCTCCCCGCACCCTGCTTGTGCACGCTCCCTGGGAGTGCGCAGCACCGCGATCCGGTGCCCGCTGTGTCCTCCGTACACAGTGAAACACCGATCGTCGGACGGGACCTCTATACGAGGTCCCGATTATGTGATCACTGATTGGCCAATCAGTGATCACATGCAAAGTAGTAAGCAAGATGTCACTTCTGACATCATTGCTTACTATGTGTGAAATCTGTGAATGATCACAGGGGTCACATGGTACAAGGCTATTCACAAAAGCCTTGTACCATGTGACAAGCTGTACTAATCACAGCTCACTCAGTTCTTCTCAATGAGTGCAAGAATGCACAGAGAGAGAAAGAGAAATGATTGCTTTTACATCCTATATGGGTGTAAAAGCAATCAGTGTAAAAAAAAATTAAAAAAATCTTCATCACCCCTCACAAGTAGTACAGTGTCACCATGGTGACACTGTACTGCTAGGGTGACAGTATGTAAAAAAAAAAAAATAAAAATAAAAAATAATAATATAAAAAAATTAAATAAAAATGTAAAAAAAAATGTTTAAAAACTGATTTGGATTTTTTTTTTTTACTTAAAAGATAACGGAATAAATTTTGGCTAAGATTTATGATGAAATATTATTTATTTGCAAAATTTTATTTAAAAAAAAAAACACTTTTTTTTCAAAATGTTTGGACATTTCATTTACATAGCAAAAAAAATACAAATCCCAGTGGTGAATAAATACCACCAAAATAAAGCTTTATCTATCTAAAAAAAATGGTAAAAAATTCATTTGGGTACAGTGTTGCATGACCGCGCAATTGTCATTCAAAGTGTGATAGCGCTAAAAGCTGAAAATTGCCCTGGTCAGGAAGGGGGTAAAAGTGTCCGGTCTGGAAGTGGTTAAAAGTAGCAACAATCTTTATTGTTTTTCAAAAATCAAGCAAACAGCTTAGCTTTCTTCAGCAACAGAAAACGTAAACAGTCCATAATTCTGGCATCATGAAAAACAACAGAATGGCTCACCGCCAGTATACCTGTCCCACACCAGGGTTTAGGGTTCTTGTCTGCTTCAGAGTGTCGCAAAGGCTGCAGGAGCGCAGCAAACACTGCCTCCATCAACCAAACATCATGGATCCTTCCTCTTCTCTGCCAGAGGCAGCTGTTGGCGGTCCTTTCTGGATGAACCTTCCGCTATAGCTATTGTACTCTGACAGCTGGCACCTCCTGCTTTCAAAATACCTGTACAGTGGCTGCATCCAGTTAGATGCAGGTAATGTTTAGCTGAAAGATCTCAGCACCTTCAATTTTTCAAATGAGGGAGGTCGGCCAGGAGGCAGCCTACAGGACCACCCACTGAATGAATTTCGGCCACTGATCAGCGCTCATTGAATGATGTGTCACAATCAGTGCAGTAATATTGTGAGCTCAGGATGACATGATGATGCACCCCTAGGGGGTGTGTCCATGACAGCTGTGGCTCACAGGATGTGGGGTGAATGGCTCAGGCTGTCATTTGACCTGAAACAGGATTCCATCTGCGGGAGGAACAGACCCTCTGCTTGGGAAAGGAAGTGAGCATTGCAGTGAAAAGCTGCTTTTTAAGTTGTCGCTGGGTTTTTTTTTCACCCTTTTATGACAGCAATACAAATATAGGTGGCTGTAGGGTGGGTGGGCCTTAAAGAGGAGTTCTTACCCCCCCCCACACACACACACACACAAATACTGTTGCTGCTGACTTTTAATATTAGGGCACTTACCTGTCTAGGGATCCAGCGGTGTCCTCACCCCAAGCCGATTCTTGAGTCGGCTCGCAGGTGCTGGTGCCACCATCTTGACCGAGAGAAACCGGCGGTGAAGTGCCTTTCCTACTGCATACGCGCGAATCGTGCTGCGCTTTGTGAATGGGCCACAGTCTTCTGGGACCTGTAAAATGTCCCAAAAGGACTGCGGGGGGAGGGGGGGGCTGAACTTTCAGCTCAGTTCACCATGGAGAACTGAGCCAGAAGTGGGAGCAGGTACCTGTCAAAACCAGGTACCCACTCCCCCCCAATAGGTGCCAAATGTGGAAGCGGAGGAGGGGAGGAGGCAGATAGGCAGAAATTCCACTTTTGGGAAGGTCCAGCCACCACATATATGCATCACTGTCTTGTTTCTGGGGCGTGCTCTATTGGCACCCCCAGAACTGTAACCGAGCTATCGCCAACAGCTATTAGTTATTATCTGGAGCCCATAGTATGGGCTCCTGATGATGTCAGTACAGTGCCGCAGCCCTTCCTGCTGACCTCGGGCATCACGGCCGAGCAGCAGCTCCCACTATTATTATTATACAGGATTTATATGGCGCCAACAGTTTGCGCAGCGCTTTACAAAACGAAGGCAGACATTACAGTTACAATACAATTTGATACAAGAGGAAACAGAGGGCCCGGCTCGTAAGAGCTTACAATCTAGGAGGAGGAGTTAAGTGATACAAAAGGTATGAGCTGTGGGGGGGATGAGCTGATAGAGGAAATAAATGTCAGTTTACTAGGTAGAAGCAGGATAGGCTTCTTGAAAGAGAAATGTTTTCAGGGATCATCTAAAGGTGGATAGATTAAGAGACAGCAGGACAGGTTGGGGTAGGTAGTTCCATAGGATGGGAGAAGCTCAGGAGAAGTCCTGGATGTGAGCATGGGAGGAGAGGACACGGGAACTAGAGAGCAGAAGGTCTTGGGAGGATCGAAGACAACGGTTTGGTTGATATTTTGAGACCAGGTTGGTGATGTAGCTGGGGGCAGAGTTGTGGATGGCTTTGTAAGTTGTTGTTAGTATTTTGAATTGTATTCGTTGGGAGAGTGGAAGCCAGTGGAGGGAATGGCAGAGAGGGGTGGAGGACACTGAGTGGAAGCCAGTGGAGGGATTGGCTGAGAGGGGTGGAGGACACTGAGTTAAAGCCAGTAGAGGGAATGGCAGAGAGGGGTGGAGGACACTGAGTGGAAGCCAGTGGAGGGATTGGCAGAGAGGGGTGGAGGACACTGAGTGGAGGCCAGTGGAGGGATTGGCAGAGGGGGGTGGAGGACACTGAGTGGAAGCCAGTGGAGGGATTGGCAGAGAGGGGTGGAGGACACTGAATGGTGGCCAGTGGAGGGATTGGCAGAGAGGGGTGGAGGACACTGAGTGGAAGCCAGTGGAGGGATTGGCAGAGAGGGGTGGAGGACACTGAATGGTGGCCAGTGGAGGGATTGGCAGAGGGGGGTGGAGGACACTGAGTGGAGGCTAGTGGAGGGATTGGCAGAGGGGGGTGGAGGACACTGAGTGGAAGCCAGTGGAGGGATTGGCAGAGAGGGGTGGAGGACACTGAGTAGAGGCCAGTGGAGGGATTGGCAGAGAGGGGTGGAGGACACTGAGTGGAAGCCAGTGGAGGGATTGGCAGAGAGGGGTGGAGGACACTGAGTGGAGGCCAGTGGAGGGATTGGCAGAGAGGGGTGGCGGACACTGAGTGGAGGCCAGTGGAGGGATTGGTAGAGAGGGGTGGCGGACACTGAGTGGAGGTCAGTGGAGGGATTGGCAGAGAGGGGTAGCAACCACTGAACGGTTGGTAAGGTGGATGAGCCTGGCAGCAGTATTCATGATGGACTGAAGGGGGGATAGCCTATGTAAAGGTAAGCCAATGAGGAGGGAGTTGCAGTAGTCGAGGTGAGCGATAACCCGGGAGTGGATTAGGAGCTTTGTGGTATCATTGGTTAAAAAGGGGAGTATTCTGGGAGAAGCTCGGGGAGAAGTCCTGGAGGCGAGAATGGGAGGAGGTGACACGGGAACTAGAGAGCAGAAGGTCTTGGGAGGATCGAAGAGAGCGGTTTGGTTGATATTTTGAGACCAGGTTGGTGATGTAGCCGGGGGGCAGAGTTGTGGATGGCTTTGTAAGTTGATGTTAGTATTTTGAATTTAAGGGTTAAATTGGAGTTCTACTTTAAAGTGCACTTATCATTATTATTCATACTTTATAGGAGGGACCTGTGCCTGGACTAAAGACTGGTCAAAAGGTATGCATATAATGCAGGTAGTGGGTGGGGTGGGGGTGTCACCCAAAACTGGAATGCAGCTTCTTCGACATTACTCAAATGTTTCCAGAAACACAAATTGCTTCCCATACAGGTTCCTTCCACAGACCACATCATTTGCCGATTCACAAAGGGCGATGTGTAAAGTAGCAAAATAGCAACCCATTAGAATGCGCCTTGCGCTGATTCACTTACAGTATCCTGAAATCAGGTTGGAATTTATCGCTTGCCGCCCTTTGCGCGTCGTTTTTGCTCTTTGTGGCACATTATGAATTAGGCCTGTGTGTCACGGAATCCCGGACCTTCTTGACATATCAGAAAATGAAAGAATTGCTGCCAAGTGTGACGTGACCCAGAGATTAAACAGCAAACCTTTAAACAGCCCCGAGGGAGTTCATTCCGCTGTGTGTAAAGGCTTCTCTGCAAAGCAGCGGCTTCTGTAGAGTCAAGCTGAGCGTTTGAAATGTCACTAATGCTCACCATCAAGAGCTCTGATGGAGGAGGAAAAGCAGAGATCTCGATCTTTTATAAACGGTACATAAAAGTGCATTTTGCACCTACCAACTCCTTCAGTGCCTAGGAATTCCAAGGCAGGGATGGTGGCTAGATGACCTAAACCTGTCAACGATCCTAATTCCACCCACCGCCGCCAGCTCTTGAACATGCTAAGGAAATGATTTAGAATCATCTTTCCATTCATTATAGAATCTGCAAAAATGTAAAGATAGCAATGTGCCCAGTGCTGGGACAAGGTCATCTAGCGCCCAGGGCAAAGATGCTAAACCGACAAAATGTCTTCTGAATACAGAAATGCTGCACTTGCAGGAAAGAGGTGGGGGAGAGAGAACACAGCCTGTATCCCCTCCCAGCTCTCTCCTCCACGCTCCCAGTGCTCGGCTGACAGGAGTAGTGATGCCTCTTTCACTACTCCTGTCAGCCTTGAAACAGAAGGAAGGCACCCCCATCTATAGAGTAAATCATTGCTCCCAGGGCAGCAGCAGTGAGGTGAGGGGCAGATACAGGGGAAAGGAGGGAGAGCTGACAATGGTTGGGTCATAGGATCCTATGGGTCATGATATCTCCTGCATCAGTGAGGGGCAGCTACAGGGGAAAGGAGGGAGAGCTGACAATGGTTGGGTCATAGGATCCTATGGGTCATGATATCTCCTGCATCAGTGAGGGGCAGCTACAGGGGAAAGGAGGGAGAGCTGACAATGGTTGGGTCATGGGAGCCTATGGGTCATGTGATCTCCTGCGTCAGTGAGGGGCAGCTGCAGAGGAAAGGAGGGAGAGCTGACAATGGTTGGGCCAAGGGAGCCTATGGGTCATGTGATCTCCTGCGTCAGTGAGAGGCAGCTGCAGGGGAAAGGAGGGAGAGCTGACAATGGTTGGGTCATGGGAGCCTATGGGTCATGTGATCTCCTGCGTCAGTGGGAGGCAGCTGCAGGGGAAAGGAGGGGAGAGCTGACAATGGTTGGGTCATGGGAGCCTATCGGTCATGTGATCTCCTGCGTCAGTGAGGGGCAGCTGCAGGGGAAAGGAGGGGGAGAGCTGAGAATGGTTGGGCCAAGGGAGCCTATGGGTCATGTGATCTCCTGCGTCAGTGAGGGGCAGCTGCAGGGGAAAGGAGGGAGAGCTGACAATGGTTGGGCCAAGGGAGCCTATGGGTCATGTGATCTCCTGCGTCAGTGAGAGGCAGCTGCAGGGGAAAGGAGGGAGAGCTGACAATGGTTGGGTCATGGGAGCCTATGGGTCATGTGATCTCCTGCGTCAGTGGGAGGCAGCTGCAGGGGAAAGGAGGGAGAGCTGACAATGGTTGGGTCATGGGAGCCTATGGGTCATGTGATCTCCTGCGTCAGTGGGAGGCAGCTGCAGGGGAAAGGAGGGGAGAGCTGACAATGGTTGGGTCATGGGAGCCTATGGGTCATGTGATCTCCTGCGTCAGTGAGGGGCAGCTGCAGGGGAAAGGAGGGAGAGCTGACAATGGTTGGGCTATGGGAGCCTATGGGTCATGTGATCTCCTGCATCAGAGAGGGGCAGCTGCAGGGGAAAGGAGGGAGAGCTGAGAATGGTTGGGCCAAGGGAGCCTATGGGTCATGTGATCTCCTGCGTCAGTGAGGGGCAGCTGCAGGGGAAAGGAGGGAGAGCTGACAATGGTTGGGCTATGGGAGCCTATGGGTCATGTGATCTCCTGCGTCAGAGAGGGGCAGCTGCAGGGGAAAGGAGGGAGAGCTGACAATGGTTGGGCTATGGCGTCAGTGAGGGGAGGGAGAGCTCAACAAAGGCTGGGCATTCCAGGAGCAGTGACATCACCCATAAGCTCCCATGTCCCCACTGTTGTCAGCGCTCCCTCCTCTTCCCTGCAGTGGCCACTGACTGACACAGGAGAGCTGGAACTGTGGATCACATGACCAGATTGGAGCAGATTAAAAAAAGGTAAGTATACATAGGGAGGCAGAATAGGTACCAGGAGGAAGGAGACATTTTTCAAGCGTTTGGAAAGGCTGAAGGTTTATTACCTGCACACATATATGCATGAAAGTAAAAATACTGTGTGCAGCTCCCTCCCAGCCCCTTCTTATACTTACCTGAGCCCGATTGTGAATCAGTGATGTGCACAAGAGCAGTAGCTCTCTCCCTCCTCATTGGTTTAGAGACAGCAACTGGAGCCATTGGCTCCCGCTGCTGTTAATCACAGCCAGTGAGGAGGGAGCAGGGGGCGGGGCTGAGTCGGCTCTGTGTGTCAATAGATACCCAGAACCGGCTCGGTAGTGAGCCTGCACAAGTGACCCCATAGAAGGCAGTTTGCTATGGGGGCACTAAGGTGGGGGGGAGGAGCCAGGAGCACCAACAGGAGACCCAAGAAGAGGAGGATCTGGGCTTCTCTGTGTAAAACCATTACACAGAGCAGGTAAGTATAGACATGTTTGTTATTTTAAACAAAAATACCTTTAATATTACTTGAAACATAGTTAGTACTAGGCAATAAAATACAATAGAAAGTGGTTGTCCTGCCATTGGCGTAACCAGGGCTGATGCTTCCGCTAGGCAAACTAGGCAGCCGCTTAGGCGCACTGGCACCTAGGAGCGCCTGGGAGCAGCACAGGCCGGCACTCTCTGTGTGGGACGCTGCCATGTCATGAATGATCCTCCAGCTGAGAGGAGGGGTAGCAGAGGGGAGGAAGAAAGGACAGAAGAAGATGCCTGGGGACAGTATAGCAGCTGAGCTGCTGCTCCTTCCAGTATTCCTCTCAGACTCAGTCCCTTACTGCAAGCCGGCTGGCAGCTTCTGAGCACTGTGGAGTTCCAGCCCTTCTCTTCCCAGCAGAGGCAGAGCTGCGCCTGCAGACGAAGGTTTGACGCTAATGTCTCGTATCTGTGTGAATGTCATCCTTCACATGTGCAATGTGTCAGTGAGTGACGACATCATCACAATCCCACAGCCTGCTCTTCTAGTGCCTGCTGATCTGTGTCAGTGTTGGTGGTGGTGTGTTGTGTCGGATCTGTCCATGTGTGGGATCGCTCAGTTCAGCTGCCTGCTGCCACAGCGTTTTATCTCCCCTCATTGCCTGGGGAATCCCAGCCTGGGATCTGTCAGAGTGTGGATCCATCATCCTCCACTCACTGCAACTGTCACCCTGCCACTGCCAGCCACAGATACAGTCTGTCTGTGACACTGATTTTGTCTGTGGTATTGGTGCTGGTGGCATCTTATGGCACTTATTTTTGCAAAATTAAAATAAATTTAGCAGTTTCAGTCTTTTTTGTCTTTAACATTGGTGCTGGTGACATCTTATGGCACTTATTAAAAATTAAAATTAAATTAAAAGAAATGTAGCAGTTTCATGTTTTGTTGATTTAATATTCTCTACTGTTTTTTTTTTTTACTGTTCATTATTTTTTTTTTGGGGGGGGGGGGGTGCAAGTAGCTGGTCTTGCCTAGGGTGCAAAATAGTCCAGCACCGGCCCTGGGTGTAACGTGTAAAGAACATCAGAGTCCTCCCTCAGGGGGAGAGGAACAGAAGTGCTGGACCTGTTGTTGCTCGTATAGTGAACTAGTAGGTTTTGTTGTCTCCAATGTTTGCTCCGCTCACAACATGGCAGCCACCTTGGCGCATGCATGACACAGCCGCTTGAAGTGAGGAAGATTCAGCTCCAACCCAGGACTGCATCCAGTTACAGAAAATAAAAGCCAACCGCTCATAAGCACATTAGCCACGGCTGAAAAGCAAAGCGGGTGAGCAGGTGCGGGATTATTTTTAGCGCATTTGCCAGCGTTGAAAAATGCATTTCAGTTTTCCATCTGCATCACACAATGGTCTCCCGAGGTAACTGGAGCTGCGTGCTTTGCACCTGACGTTGTTGGTCTGTACATCTAATATAAAGCAGTCGGCAGCACGGTGCGCTCGGGTTTCCCTAAAGCAGTGTTTCTCAACTCCAGTCCTCATGGACCCCCAACAGGTCATGTTTTCAGGATTTCCATTATTTTGCACAGGTGATTTGATCAGTTTCACTGCCTTAGTAATTACCACAGCTGTTTCATCTGAGGGAAATCCTGAAAACATGACCTGTTGGGGGTCCATGAGGACTGGAGTTGAGAAACACTGCCATAAAGTGACAGAAATCAGTAGTCGGACTTCACCATGAAGTTTCCCATTAAATAAAGATGAACTCCAGGCAAAAAGCTGAATGTACACATTTAAAATGCATACACGAGGTCTGTTTTACCCGGCAAAGGATTTGTATTTCTGTCCATCCACTACTGAGATTTACACAGCTCTGCCACATAGTACAATCAGCCTGGTGACCTGAGTATTCATCGCTGCAGTTAAGCAACCCAGCTTGATCACCTCCATGTGACCAGACTGATGAGGTCATCCTTCTGCTCTCTCTTTTACCCCCAGTTCACATCTACGGGGCCGCGTTTTCCACGGGCACGGGAGCCCATTCATTTGAATGAACTCCCATGCCTGTGACATGCAGGGAAGAAGTCCCTGCGCTTCTTTGGAAAATGCAGCCCGCACGGGAACCTCAGTTGCCAGTACGGTTGCGTTTTCCAGTGCGGGCGGCGTGCCATTAGAACTAATGGCACCCGCCCGCAAGTCCGCATTTCTCTGTGTGGTGATTTTCGTGCAGATCCGCAGAGGCACCACCCGCACAGATGTGAACCGGGGGTTAGTAAACATGTCTCTTGTAGGCATACGTGAACACAGGACACCTGATTGGCCCCATTACCGTCCCTCCTTCTCCCAGCTGTACGTGGAGTTACAAAAGGCTGGAATTAAGTAAAATTCAGGAATTTATAGCAGTTTAATTCATGATAAATTGTCCTGTTTTAAATGCTGTTTTGTGCATTGACCTACCTCCATAGACCCAGAAGGTTCAGTCTCCATGCACATGGGGCGTTTTGATAACACTGGTAACGTTAGCTGTGTAAAGTCACGTTAAAAATGAGATTTTCAGCTTTTTTTAGCGTTTTTGCATTAGCGTTTAGCAGCATTTGCCATGTTTAGCAGCGTTTTCACACGTTTTTCAGCCTTTTGACAAATAAAATTATCAAAAACACCGGTTTGCGGTGTTTTACAGCGTTAGAGCGTTTTTACAGCTAAAAAAACTCCTCTAGAAACACACTAGTCCTGGGTTTTTTTTCCAGCCAAAAAAATGTTGATTCCAGTCTCTGTGTGTATGGACACATAGGAGAACATGCTGGGGGGGTTTACTAGCTGTAGAAAAAAATGGCAAAAACCAAAAACAGCCGCTGTAAAAACGTCCCGTGTGCGTGAAGACTCAGAATGATCACCTGCTGACAGTTTAACTCTTTAATAAGACACAGAAGTTGAGTCCAACATAATTCAATGATGTTTTTCCAGTCTTAAGAAGTGTAAGAAGACAATGGGGTGGATTTACTAAAACTGCAGAGTGCAAAATCAGGTGCTGCTCTGCATAGAAACCAATCAGTTTTCAGGTTTTATTCTCAACACTTCAACCCGGGTTCACACTGATGCGGTGGAGAATTTGCAGCGTTTTCAGTGCGAATTCTGCACCGCATCAGAATCGCACCCCGGTCATGCGAACCCCTGCTGGTGTGTATGTTAAGTTTGCATTATGGGAGACGTCAGCATCCAGGCTTTCCATCCGTTGTCAGTGATCTCTCCTCTCCCCTGAAGCTGGCCGCTGAGAATCAATCATGTGAGCACCTGAGAATAGGTAAGTACTTGCATCTTTCTTCTACAGGGTAGGTAATACAGGGTTAGAAGAGGGCTGGAAGATGTTTACTTAGTTCCAACCTGGAATTCCATTTTAATAACTGCATTCATTAGCATTTTATTTTCAGCCTTGGTTCACACTAGCGTGATTTTCCAGCGACTTGTAACAGGTCAAGTGAAAAGACATAAATAGACGGACGGACGGACGGACGGACGGACGGACAGACAGACAGACAGACAGACGATGATAGATAGATAGATAGATAGATAGATAGATAGATAGATAGATAGATAGATAGATAGATAGATAGATAATAGATAGATAGATAGATAGATAATAAATAGATAGATAGATAGATAGATAGATAGATAGATAGATAGATAGATAGATAGATAGATAGATAGATATTAGATAGATAGATAGATAGATAGATAGATAATAGATAGATAGATAGATAGATAGATAGATAGATAGATAGATAGATAGATAGATAGATAGATAGATAGATAGATATTAGATAGATAGATAGATGATAGATAGATAGATAGATGATAGATAGATAATAGATAGATAGATAGATAGATAGATAGATAGATAGATAGATAGATAGATAGATAGATAGATAGATAGATAGATAGATAGATAGATAGATAGATAGATAGATAGATAGATAGATAGATGATAGATAGATAATAGATAGATAGATAGATAGATAGATAGATAGATAGATGATAGATAGATAGATAGATAGATAGATAGATAGATAGATAGATAGATAGATAGATAGATAAATAGATAGATAGATAGATAGATAGATAGATAGATAGATAGATAGATAGATAGATAGATAGATAGATAGATAGATAGATAGATAGATAGATAGATAGATAGATAGATAGATAGAAGATAGATAGATAGATAGATAGATAGATAGATAGATAGATAGATAGATAGATAGATAGATGGATGATAGATAGATAGATAGGATAGATAGATAGATAGATAGATAGATAGATAGATAGATAGATAGATAGATAGATAGATAGATAGATAGATAAATAGATAGATAGATAATAGATAGATAAATAGATAGATAGATAGATAGATAGATAAATAGATAGATAGATAGATAGATAGATAGATAGATAGATAGATAGATAGATAATAGATAGATAGATAGATAGATAGATAAATAGATAGATAGATAAATAGATAGATAGATAATAGATAGATAGATAGATAGATAATAGATAAATAGATAGATAGATGCAGTATAAATCCTGTATATTATAATAATAATTTCTTACAAATAAACAGAACAGCTGTTCATATATGTTTAAAATTTCAGTTTATATACCAGTATATAAAAAAATATATATTCCAACATTTCCAACACATACAAGCACTGAGATAATTGGAGTCATACATGCAGATTAAATAACAGAATTTCCATACATAGGCCCCTAAAATCAATAATGGAAGATCACTTATACAATGTATTAATATGCAGAGTAGAGAGCAGGAAATCCTGACATCTTGGTGATTAAAATGTTTGCAATGAGAAGAAAAGTGGTTAGATTTAATTAATTCAAGCTTAACCTCTCTGCACATATGGTTCTTTCAAAGGCTCACTAAAATCAAACAATTCGAAGATATAAATGGACTATTCGTTTGTTACCTGGATTCATCTTTTAAAGTGTTACTAAACCCCCAACAGTACAATCAGTCTGTATATGTAGTAAAGCATGCTTGTTATACTCACTGTGGAACCTAAGGGGTTAATCCTCTGCATTGTGTAAAAAGGATATTTGATCCTCTCTTCTCTGATCCTCCTATTCTTCTCCTGTCCCTAATCCATCTGCTCAGTTTGGTGTGTATTGTTAGGTTGCTTTTTTTTCTTTGTTAGGGTGCATGTGATCAGCACAGGGCCAATTAGCACTGTCCAGACAGAGGATCAGGCATCAGGCACAGTCATAGGAGAATGAAAACTCCTCCTACAAGATTACCCAGTGCTCAGCTGGACACTGATAGAAGTCACAAGACGGATATATACTGCTGATGAGAAAAGGTATTTAGCAGTTTATATTTACTAAAATAATTAAATTTCCATGTTGTGTGTACTGTGGGAAACCAGATATAGTGAATGCGGGGTCCGGGGAAACCAGATATAGTGAATGCGGGGTCCGGGGAGAGCAGATAGAGTGAATGCAGGGTCCGGGGAGAGCAGATAGAGTGAATGCAGGTCCGGGGAGAGCGGATATAGTGAATGCAGGGTCCGGGGAGACCAGATATAGTGAATGCAGGGTCCTGGGAGACCAGATTTAGTGAATGTAGGGTCCGGGGAGAGCGGATATAGTGAATGCGGGGTCCGGGGAGACCAAATATAGTGAATGTAGGGTCCGGGGAGAGCGGATATAGTGAATGCAGGGCCCGGGGAGACCAAATATAGTGAATGCAGGTCCGGGGAGACCAGATATAGTGAATGCAGGGTGACCAGATATAGTGAATGCAGGGTCCGGGGAGAGCGGATATAGTGAGAGGGTCCTGGGAGACCGGATATAGTGAATGCAGGGTCCGGGGAGACCAGATATAGGGAATACAGGGTCCGGGGAGAGCGTATATAGTGAATGCGGGGTCCTGGGAGAGCAGATATAGTGAATGCAGGGTCCAGGGTGAGCGGATATAGTGAATACAGGGTCTGGGGAGAGCGGATATAGTGAATGCGGGGTCGGATATGTGAATGCGGGGTCCTGGGAGACCAGATATAGTGAATGTAGGGTCCGGGGGGAAAGCGGATATAGTGAATGCAGGGCCTGGGGAGACCAAATATAGTGAATGCAGGCTCCGGGGAGACCGGATATAGTGAATGCAGGGTCTGGGGAGACTGGATATAGTGAATGCAGGGTCCGGGGAGACCAGATATAGGGAATACAGGGTCCGGGGTGAGCGGATATAGTGAATGCAGGGTCCTGGGAGAGCAGATATAGTGATGCAGGGTCCGGGGTGAGCGGATATAGTGAATACAGGGTCTGGGGAGAGCAGATATAGTGGGGAAGCAGGTATAGTGAATGCAGGGTCTGGGGAGAGCAGATATAGTGAATGCAGGGTCTGGGGAGACCAAATATAGTGATATAGTCTGGGGAGAATGCAGTGATCCAGGGTCCGGGGGAGACCAGATATAGGGAATGCAGGGTCCGGGGTGAGCGGATATAGTGAATACAGGGTCTGGGGAGAGCGGATATAGTGAATGCAGGGTCCGAGGAGACCAGATATAGTGAATGCAGGGTCCTGGGAGACTGGAAATAATGAATGCTGGGTCTGGGGAGACCAGATATAGTGAATGCAGGATCCAGGGAGACAGATATAGTGAATGCAGGGTCCTGGAAGAGCAGATATAGTGAATGCGGGGTCCAGGGAGAGCAGATATAGTGAATGCAGGGTCCTGGGAGACCAGATATAGTGAATGCATGGTCATGGGAGAGCAGATATAGTGAATGCGGGGTCTGGGGAGACCGGATATAGTGAATGCAGGGTCCGGGGAGAGTGGATATAGTGAATGCAGGGTCCGGGGAGAGCGGATATAGTGAATGCAGGGTCCAGGGAGAGGGGATATAGTGAATGCGGGGTCCGGGGAGAGCGGATATAGTGAATGCAGGGTCCAGGGAGACCAGATACAGTGAATGCAGGGTCCGGGGAGAGCGGATATAGTGAATGCAGGGTCCTGGGAGACCGGATATAGTGAATGCAGGGTCCGGGGAGAGCGGATATAGTGAATGCAGGGTCCTGGGGAGACCGGATATAGTGAATGCAGGGTCCGGGGAGACCGGATATAGTGAATGCAGGGTCCTGGGAGACCAGATATAGTGAATGCAGGGTCCGGGGAGACCGGATATAGTGAATGCAGGGTCCGGGGAGACCGGATATAGTGAATGCAGGGTCCGGGGAGACCAGTTATAGTGAATGCAGGGTCCCTGGTTAAGTAACACTTTAAAACACAAATGATCGAACTTTCTGGCTAGTATGTGAGCCTTGCTCTTAAGGCATATCTCCTGTAAGGTATCAAGATCAAGTTTTAAAAAGTTCTCATTTTAGACATTAAAATGTTCTACGCAATACAAATGGACGAGTTTTTGTAGGACTGTGGAAGTGGAATTGCTGGAATGACTATGAATTCATCAGCCGATTTGCTCTTTTGATCCACGTCCCTTCCTGAGATTCCAAACTAGTTAACAGAATCAATCCGTTTGGCACTTATGGACGAGGAAACACTTAATCTTAGCTTTTTGGCACTGAGAGCGGAGCATGGGTTATGTTCAGTGTGGAGGTTTGGGTGCCGATAAAATTGAACTACCGTATGTATTCTGACCCCTAACCATACACCTGACCCTTAAAAAGACGCCCTCACCTGGTCAGTCAGGGCAGAGTGACAGTGTATGGAGGGTAAGCTCCTGTGTCAGAGCTACCCTACCTACAGTGTTCGGATCTGGTAACTGGCCTCTCAGGTCTGAGTACTTAGGGCCGGATCTAGGGGGGTGCTGGGGGTGGGCTGTCCCCCCCCCCAGATTTTAGCTGTGCCCCTCCAGGTCTCAGAGTACATACACTGATCCATGAACCAGTCTGATGCAAACAGTTGATATAAGAAGGCACTCTGATGGGGACAATGCATGTAAGGGGGCACTCTGATTGGGACACCTGATGTAAGGGGGCAGTCTGATTGGGACACCTGATGTAAGGGGGCAGTCTGATTGGGACACCTGATGTAAGGGGGCAGTCTGATTGGGACACTGATGTAAGGGGGCAGTCTGATTGGGACACCTGATGTAAGGGGGCAGTCTGATTGGGACAACTGATGTAAGGGGGCACTCTGATTGGGACACCTGATGTAAGGGGGCACTCTGATAGGGACACCAGATGTAAAAGGGCACTCTGGTTGGGATAAATGTTCATATGTAAGTGGACACTTTGATGGGGACACCTGATATAAGGGGGCACTCTGATGGGGATAACTGATCATATGTAGGGGGGCACTCTGTTGGGGACAGTTGATGTAAGGGGGGGGACTCTGAAGGTGACACCTGATGTAAGGGAACGCTCTGATGGGGATCCTGATGTAAGGGGCACTCTAACGGGAACACCTGATATAAGGGGGCACTCTAATAGGGACCCTGAAGTAATGGGGACTGTGATCGGGACCCCATGTAATAGGGGACTCTGATGAGGACTCCTGATGAAGAAGTACAGGTTCTGTTTAATCATCCCAATCTAATGACCGCATAATACATACTAGCCGCACACACATTGTTGACATTATGCCCCCTTACTTTTTTTCCTGCACCCCCAGATTAGATAGGCTAGATCTGGCCCTGTGAGTACTATAGGGGAGGCCACATGCTCCCCTATACCTGGAAGACCTGCTTCTTTAGAGCAACAAAGTAAGGGCTCCAAAAAGCGGTGAGGCAGCAAGGAAGAAGTGTACCTTGCTGGGATGGTGGGCTATCCAGGGCACACTCTTCCTTAAGCCTAGGTTCATACTAGGAATCAAATGCGAATCGCACCGCATTTCTGTGCAATTCACATGCGATTCTGTGCAGTGCGATTTGAGCCCATTCATTTTGAATGGCTCAAATAATCACCCCACATCTGCACCAAAAAGGTGCTTGCAGCTTTTTTGTAAACGCACTGGAAGCAGATCGCATGGTCGTTTTGTACCATGCGATCCGGTGCAAGCAAATGCGCTGCATCTGTGAGCTGCTTTCAGGGTGTTGTTAGCTGTGAATTGCAACCCAGAGCAGATCACAAAACAGTGCATTGGCAGCGAGGTGCGGGAAACGCACAGGGACCGCAGTGTTTCCCGCACCAGTGTGAACCAGGGCCGAATAGGCAAAGTGACAGTGTCTCCTAAAGCTGACCCTAACACATAACCTCTCTCAACTCAACCCTTAAACTAGACCTGACACTTAAAATTAACCTCAACCCTTACCCCCCAGTCACATCAAACCTGACTTTGAAACCGTGCGACTTACATTGAAGTCCCACGATTTCAAAGTTGGGGGACATGCCGAATTCAGGTGCGATTCGAAAGACATCTGACATCTGACACAGATGTCTATGCAAATCGCACCAGAAGTAGTGCATGTAGTACTTTAGAAATCGGTTCGGCTCCGACCAAGGCGGAACCACACCGATATGACCGCTGTAATTGCGGACAATAGGGTGTACCTTGGCATGTGAATTGCAAGTCGCATTACATGCAAATCGCATGCCAATTGCATCCAGTGTGACCGAGGACTTATGCAGGCCATAGATGGGCCGTTTATCGGCCGATAAACGAAAAATCGGTCGGCGCCGTTGCCAATGTTGCCACCATTGTCCGCGTAAAACGGCGGTTTTTTTTGTGGACTTTCCAGCATGACCGATAAAAGTAAATGAGATGATACACGAAATACGGCCGACAGGCGGGCACCACTAACAGCGTGAATATCGGACGATTTTTCATGCGGACGAAAAATCGGCCGATAAACGACTCGTCTATGGACTGCATTAGGCTTCATCCACACAGGCATACCATAGCATGCCTCAATATAAAGGTGCAGCGCTAAAAACTAAATATGCAGCATAAATCTCATCATTGTTATAGGGAAATGAGAAGGTAAGCCCTGTACCCTATGACTACGTGCATCGCACGAAACGCGTCAGAGAGGCTACAGCAACTGGACGTCTAGCCACCGCTGGTGGCCATCCTGAATTCCTATTATACGGTCAGTGTTTTTATTTCATTGCACTTTTCATTCAATGGAATAAAGTTCCCTACGGTATCACGCTATGTGGTCTCCTTTATTGGTCCCTATTCATGAGGGACATTCGCAGAGGCCACACTAAGGGTGAGCCCCTATGGTGATACGCATCAAGGACCCCAAAGTACTGCATGCAGATGTGACTGGGAAGTATCCTGACCTGACCTGACCTGATCTGGGAGGCGGATGACCTAAACTATACCTATTGTGATAGGTTATATCTCAAATGCGTGTTTATACGTTCTTCTGGTGAGTGCGCATTTCATTTACATTGAACACCTGCCACTGAGATTAACCCTCCACGCACGCTTATCGGGATCATACAGGATCCTCACGTGGGCAATACATCTGGGACTTTTTTGCACTTTACTCACCTATTGGTGACATCATTTATGCACATTTATTTGTTTATTTTCTTGATTGATCTGGTATTGCTGATTATCTATACCTATATACTGAGTATATGCTATCGATTTTCTCATGCTGCACATTTTTTAAAAAACTGCATCTTCTCATTTCCTTATAATAATGATGAGATTGATGCTGCATATTTAGTTTTTAGCACTGCACCTTTATATTGAGAATTGCATTGGAAGGTTCTGTTTGGTTGCCTTTTTAGGTGTTTCAGCGGCTATTTTTCTTTTGGATAGCGCTCGTACATCTACTTTTTACATACTATAGCATTCGCCCATGTAAGGGCCATGTTTGTCCTATGAGAATGCACGGGCAGTCCCATTCATGTCTAATGGGACACAGTCGCTGCTCCGATAGTGACAGCCATGCGGGTGCACCGAACACATATAGTGTGCATTTGGGGACATGCACCCGCACTTCCACTGCTGCCAAATTGAGAGCAGCAGATGTGTCCGTTCAACTGCTGCGTCCCAGTTGACATGAATAGGACTGCCTGCAAACACGGCCTTTGCATGGGCACATTGCATACTGTTACCCTGTGAGGGACCCAGAAAAAGCATGTGGCAAATGAGTCTGAGAAAAATCTGAATTCCTTCTTTCTATACTTGTTCTAGGTCAGTATCGCAGGAAGATTTGAACCCATAAAACACACTAGAAAAATCTCTGTCCTGTGCTCATTTATGTCTTCACACAAGGGCGTTTTGAATCGCAGGCAGAATCGCTGGAATTCTGCTCGCGATTCTCGCACACACGTCTTTTGGGCAATGCGCGTCGTGCAATCGTGGCAGAACTGCACCACATTTTCAAGTGCCATTGAAATGAATGCCACCTTAACATGCAGGTCCGCGATTTCTCATTTTAGCAGATTGTTTTGATATCGTGGGCAGAATCAAATTGCAGGCGATTCTGCCCACGATTCTAAACAACCTGGTGTGAATGGGGCCTTAAACTGTCCCTGTCAGTTGGTGTTTTGGTAAACTGACGGCAGGAGGCACCACAATGCCCTAGAAAGGCAGGAGGCAAGCTCAAAAAATTAGTGGAAATTATTAAAGCAACTGTATAAAAAAAAGACCAGAAAGTGTTTTACTTATTATATGCCTTTGGTGTGATCGCCAAGTAAAGGGACTTGACTTAGACCACAAGCTTCTAAACCCAAAAAGAAAACCTTTATATACTGAATCTAACCAGTCCTCAGATGTGGTGACTGCATTAGTTTGCATTTTCAGGCTTTTTTCACTTTATGTACTTGTGAATAACACACTGTCTGCCTCTGTGTAGCTTCTCCATTGCTGTACCCATTAAAAACTCAGATTGGACTTCAAACATGGCTGCCTTTTTTCATCTCCATTCTATGGGGAATGGGTGGATTAGCATTTTACAGAATTTGGAGAACATCGTTTTATGCTTCCAGTTCAACTCACGGGTAAGTTACAAGGACACTGCATTTCTGGATGGATTAACACATGTTTTCTGTACTTGCTAAAAGTGCTCTGAGCCTGAAGCCCCTTTTACACTGAGGTTCGATCGGGTCCGCCTGGTCTGATTGGACCATTCATAGCTTTCTATGGAGCGGTGGGTGTCAGCAGACACCCTAACCGATCCTGTACGCTAAAAGTAGATGGATAGGGATCCGTTCCCCATCCGTCTGGCGGTTCATATTGGATGATAGTCGGGTGGAAACGGACAGGCGGTCCGTTTCCATCCGACCGCCCATATAAAACAGCGGGCTGTGACTGTGTCCGCTCTGCAGGACCGGAGCAGACACAG